CACTACGCGCACCGTTTCCCCTCACTGCGCACTATGATCACCCCTCCGCGTACCTCCTCGCCAACTTCATCCCAACATACGCACCTGCCATGCTCTTCCGCCTCCACATGCTCACCTACCTCATCTACCTGTCTATAATATCCATTGAAGAGACGTTCGCCTTCTCCGGGTACTCTGTGATGCCAACGAGTTTCTTCCTGGGCGGCATTGCGCGTCGCACGGATGTGCATTTGCTAAGTGGGGTGGAAGGGAATTTCGGGCCTTGGGGTATTCTGGACTGGATGTGTGGGACGACTGTCGGCGACGGTGAGGATGGAGCGGCTAGTGTTGTAGATGATGCGCAGAGTCAGCTTAGTGCTAGCCTGAGCCAGGACGGGGATCTCGATGAGAAGATTCGGAGGGCTGTGGAGGAGTCTACGAGGAGGTTTAGGGATGGGAGTCGTCGGCGGTTGCGGAAGCGGAGGGATGAGTGATTTGGGGTTTGTGGGCTCATGAGGTCATGATTTTTTTTGTATGGATGTATGATTATATGGTATGGGTGCGATTCCGCTTATATATACCTTTGATTTGGATGCTTGACGATGCAGTGGTATGAACTACTACGTACAGCCATTCTCGAGAGGGTACAAAGCGAGTATCCTCGCTGTAAGGTCGCAATTGCATGTCCTTGGGCTGATACGGGCTGTATGCGATGTCGCTTGGGCCATGGAGAGAGTAAAAGGGACGGCGCTGTGCAAGAAGCTGAAGTTGGAAGTTGGAAGTTGGAACAGAACCTGACAGTTCCTAATTTTGGATCTCGACCTGAACCTGGAAATGAGAGATGTATCATACTTAACATAAAACGATAACGCCCGGCCTAGTCTTTTCAAGGGCACGTGTAACAGCTGGAAAAGGTATTCTTTTTTTTTCTTTGACATTTCGGCTTTTCTTTAAAGAGGTCCTGCAAATCGGGCCACGCTGGAGGAGACTTTTCGTTGAAACAAGGAAATGACAACCGGTTTTTCCGAATTGACCGCAATCCTAAGCAAAGACGGAGCCCGTATCGAGTTACATTATCTCATGAACTTGTTCCTCCCGCGCTGCAAAAGAGATATGCGATCCCCGGGGAGTGGGGACGCCCATTTGCAATCCAAGCCGCCCCTCGCGCAAGATTTCCTCCACAATCACTACCGAACCCGCGGCCACCACGCACGTTTACCACTTCATCTCGTGGGGCTTGTCGCCGTTCCGGAGGCTGAAGGAGCTGGCGAGGTAGCTGCCGAGGAAGGCCTCCTTCTTGACGGAGGCCAGGATGGACTGGTCGACGGCCTTCTGGTCGCTGGCACGAGCGCTGGCAACCTTCTTCTTCTATTGTAGACAGTCGCATATCAGTACACGTCGTCGAGATTCACAACGGAGTAGTATCCTCCTCCGTGGTGCATAGGATCAAGTTCATCGGCAGAATCCACATACCTCGGGCTTCTCTCCCTGCTTGAAGAAAGCCTCCTCGGTCTTCTTCTCGGCCTTCTTCTCCTTGGTGAAGTAGTCGGAAGCGCTGACCTTCTCGAGGACGCTCTGGTCGACGCTGCTGATGTCCACACGCTTGCTAGTGGCGATCACATAGCGAGCGTTCACCCGTCTGAGAGGAACACCGTTGATCTTGAAGGGACCGGTAACGAGGAGGACACCCTGGTCAAGGTGCTTGAGGAGGATGACACGCTTGCCACGGAAGCGACCGGCGAGGAGGATCAGAATAGTACCGGGCTGAAGGCTTTCCCGGAGCTTGGTAGGACGAATAGCCTTGCGAACCTGTTCAAACGCACAATCATGTCAGAAACTCTTGTTCGCATTAACCCGGACACACTTGCAAGTCATGGAAAGGTAGATATATCCCCGGAGATGCGATTTCCCTTATCAATTCATGTTCACATTGACACTGGCCTTGATCCACCCACAAAAAGCGGTATCATTGACCGGCGCAATCGTCGCATTCATTCATAAATAAAACCGCATCTCCAATTCAAGTATTTCTCTCTGTATAGGGCGTACTGACTTTCTTGGGCTGCGGCTCGTCATCAACGGGGTACCATTTCTGGGCCTTCTGAGCCGGAACGGTCCTCTGGCCCTTTCCAAACTGCTTCGTCTGGCCAACAGTAGAGTCCGACATATTGGCTACCGGGGACGAAGGTGGTCTGAAAAGAATGTAGGAGGGGGTGGGTGGTTGTCGACGGCGGGTGGTTGTTGGATTGAAGTGTGACTGACTACTTGCGGCCCCGGGCGGAAATCCTGAGGTTTGTGGGAACGCGAGCCCTATCAATTAACCGAATCGCACTAGTGCCGATTTGGAGTCCCTGATAAGGTCATTGTTTCTTGCCTGAGGTGTCGAGCTCCGGTCGACCATACAAACCTTTAATGCAATGGAAGCTTTCTCAGCCCCATCATTCTTGAACTGACGTACCCTGCTGGAGCCCGCTGCTTCAGAGCTTACCAACATCACAACAACACCGTCCTGTCTCGATCAACATCACAATACGGCCGACAAATTCCAGCTCTACCATTCTCTCCACCTTTACTCCTCATTCTCATAGACGTTCGTCATGTCTATAGCTCCACTCATTACGTTCAAAGCTGGTATCTGTGACCTTGATGTGAGTGACTGCCACTACAACCCCGACAAATTGAGAGTAACCTCTGTCTATCAAACGGCCACACCTGCAACTGATTTATGACCCTTACTAACTCTACTTTCCGTCTGAGCAGGTCTCAAGTTCAAACCCTGTGGTCAAGCCGAAGCCTACTCCAGGTTACATCTACCTCTACTCCGAGGATGAATTGGTGCACTTTTGCTGGCGTCCAAGATCCGCTCCTCCTGACCAACCCGAATTGGATCTCGTAATGGTCCCATCAGACGGAACCTTCACCCCGTATCAACCAGCTGGCAAAGACGCACCAACGAACGGCCGAGTCTTCGTATTGAAGTTCTCCTCCAGCTCGCAGCGCTATCTATTCTGGCTCCAGTCAAAATCTCAGCATGAGAGGGGCGATCCTAGCTGGTTCAGCCCCAGAGATCTCAAGCTAGGCGAAATTGTCAACGAATTACTTCAGGGTGAAGAAGTCGACGTCGCGCATGCAATTGCCAACCTTCCCAGAGGTGGTCCTTCTGGCGGCGGCGACGACGATGAAACGATGGAGGATGTCGAGGGCGCGGACCATAATCCAAGCCATAACCACGGAGGCAGTGGAGGAGCCGGCCTGGACGCTACGGGTGGAGACATCAGAGAAGAAGGAGAGGAAGCGAGGGAGGGCGGTGCTGACGGTGGAAGAGCGTAGGTACATCTTCCTACTTCTATTCTGCGGTCCCCATTGGCTCCCGCACCGACATTTACTTCCTGGTTTTTGACCATCGCTGTATTGAAATTTTCTGAGCTGATCTGGTATTCTCAGGGCGGCCGCCGACTCGAACCCTTCGTCTGTTGTACAGAGCTTCTTGAGGTCCTTACAGGGGAACCAAAACCAATCCCAAGACCCCGACAGACCTTTCACAACGCTACAAGACCTCCTTTCGCCATCATCTACGATCCCTTTTCTAGAGTCTGCGGACGATCGAACCGTTGACAATCTCTTAAGCTATCTACCACCGACCCTCCTTCTTTTAGCGCAGGAATCCGAAGATGTGTCGCTTGCTGAGACCGATCCGGAGATCGTAGAAGCAGCAATGCTCTCGCTCGACCTGTCGCAAAAGAAGAGCATATTACGGAAAGTCCTTCATTCCCCTCAATTCTCGCAGAGTCTTGCTAGCTTGACTGTTGCTATCAGAGATGGCGGCCTGCCAAGCATAAGCGAGGCCCTCAAGATCCCTGTTGAAAATGGTGGTTTCATGCATAGAGGAGGTGTTCCTCTCGGTGGTGGGGATGCTGTTGAAGCTTTTCTCAAAGGCGTTCGGGACCATGTTAAGGAATCGGATCAGGAGAATCAGATGGAGACAGATTGATTGAGCCGCGCGTCTTGTACCAAAAACCTTCCTGTAACTACCTCCTCGTGTCATGATCTATCCGTGCACTAGAAGCGTCGCACTCGCAACAGAAGATTTACATTAGAGAGCCAAAAATCTTGGGTGCTGCCGGTTCATCAATCCTTTGGGCACGTTGCAACATGAAGAAGCAACTTGGACTCCCAGCTTTACTGTTAGCAGTTTATGGGCAAGACCAGGTGCTGAACTACGCTCAAAGATTGTGACGAGCTAAAATACCCCGTGCAAGGAAGCAAAACTCAATCATTGATAAGAGTATACTCCGTAGTTTTCGAGCGATATTTCTCCAATTGGTTACAGGATCACAGGAGACGGGATGGAGCCTTCATAGCTCATTTGTCCTGGTAGCTAGGCTATATCGCCAAAACCTCATAAAGTCAAACAAAAATCCGTCGGTGTGTGAACCATGAAGTTAACGAAGAAGCAGACGGAGTAGACAGTCAGCCTTAAATTATCCAATTCCTCCAGAGTGAGAAATTAAGAATAGCTAAATTTGGATGAGCCACAAGCGTGGGTTCCAGAGTCTCAGGTTCCATCGCAGGTGAGACCAAGTCCAATGAACCACACAGAAGCCAGCTTACGGGCCAACCGCCCCAGTTTTGGCCGCGTTGGCGCAATCCAAGCAAAGCTCCGCTGCTCACAGCCGTTCAATAATATCGCGATCCCAGGGCGATTTGTACAGTAGCTTGCCTTTTCTGTCGCACTGGCCTTATTTTCCCTCTTAACAAAAGCCCGTAGATTCCCGCTAGTTTTGCCTGATAGGTACGGAAGAACTGGTGTTGGTAGAGAACAACATACCCGCATACTTGGCAAGGCAACAACAATAGTAAGTTCCTGAACGGAAGAAAATAACTTAGCAGAAAGCAACACGTTTTCTTTTATCTCTAATTTCGAATTGTCCCTAACCGCAAGATATTATTGACACAGGTACGGTTTCCACAGCTGCAGTCTGCAATGTCTACATTCGGCTAGCGCATTATACCTGCCTACGATGGCTTCGAATAGCCACAATCGCGGCCACGACGAAGACAATGCTCTCACGGATCAATCAATTCCTTTACAAGACCTTTCCGGGCCGTTGGAGCGCAGTCAGTCTAGGACAAGTCGGGTAGGAAGCAGATTTCTGTCAAGGCGATCTTTGAGACGAGGAGGCTCTCTGAGTAACTATGAGAGGGTGTCGGAGGAGTCCCCTGTTGAACCCCCGCCAGTCGCACGGCGTGCACGTCCGCAACATGCTGGCCATGATAATGAAGATGCGTTCCATATCGAGGATCCGGGGACATTTGCTCAGGCAATGTCGACGGTGGGCCTCAGTTTCGACCCGACACATAGTACCACAACTTCAGCGCGACGCCGCGAATCTAGCTCCGACCTGACGAATGTCCCTCTCGATGACTTTGGCCCGCAGGAAGCTGAACACTACCTTTCCCCAACCGATACCTACGAGGATACGGCCCCGTTGACCGACCATCGTTTTCTTCAGCCCATCAGCGGAGCTTCTCACAACTTTTCAGGCGGACAGGATGACCGAAGCAGCACGCACGGCGACCGTTTCCCTTCCGATTCGCGTCCAGAGTCGCGTTTGGGTGATGATCTGCCACACCTTGAGAGCGGTTTGGGTCGGAGACGTCGCGGGAGCAGCAGCGCAGGAGATAGTCGGGCCCGTTCCTTGTCTCCTTCGGCCACTGGGTCTGCTTTGCAGCGCGCGAGTTCGATGATGAAGTCGATGTCGCAGCGTGTTGTTAATCTGAGTAACGAGCCGGAGGTGGTTGAACAAGCAATTATGAGGGAGGAACAGCACAAGAATGCACGACTCGAAGAACCTCCGTCGCTTCCCTCCTTGAGCGGATATGCACACGATGCGCCGTCTGTCGGAATGTCTAATGATCAACTACCGCGGACTAGAACATCCGCGAGCAAAGCGTGGAGGATGTACAACAATCCTTTGAGAGGCAAAGCACTCGGAATCCTGGGTCCGGACAACCTTATACGGGTGTGGCTATGCGACATCCTAGTTCATCCTTTCATGGAGCCATTTATTCTGGTTGTGATCATTATTCAGACGATATTGCTGGCTCTCGAATCGGCAAAGTCGGTCTGGGATCATCCGCGATCTGTGCGTTGGGGCTCTAATCCCATGGACTACGCTTATTTTGTCATCTTTGTTATTTACACATTGGAGCTAATAGCCAAGATCCTGGTGTCGGGTTTTATCATCAATCCGGCGGAATACAGTACCCTAGATCGATCGATGGGGTTGAGAAAGGCAATCGCGGAGAAAGGAAAAAATCTACTTGCACCGCAACGGCAATTTGCCTCCAAACAAGCCTCTAGCTCCCCAGAGCCACAGCAGGCCTCAATTATACGCACGTTTACTGGCGGTTTCGATCAGTTGCAGCCAGAAGTCATCGATGACCCTTTACAGCCACGCCGCGTGCGACTCGCACACCGTGCTTTTCTCCGGCATTCGTTCAATCGTCTCGATTTCGTCGCTGTCGTAGCATTCTGGGTATCCTTCTTACTCTCCCTCACCGGTGTCGAAACTCGCCAGCAGTTATACGTGTTTCGCATGCTCAGCTGCCTTCGCATCTTGCGTCTTCTTGCGCTCACCAACGGCACATCAGTAAGTTGGAGAACTTCATTAATTTGATTTTGGTAGCTGATTCAGAACAGGTCATTCTCCGAAGTCTCAAGAAAGCAGCTCCCTTGCTTGTTCATGTTGCATTCCTTATAGGCTTCTTCTGGCTACTGTTTGCTATTGTCGGGATCCAGAGCTTCAAGTCGAGCTTGCGACGCACATGCCGCTGGCTCGGTCGTGACAATGAGACTGACTTTGATCTCAACGATCCGTACGGCACGCTACAATTCTGCGGTGGATATCTCAATGCGACTACTGGCGCCAAAGAGCCTTGGCTAAAAAATGATCTCACTCCGAGCGATGGGGATGCGAAAGGGTATCTCTGCCCCCAAGGCTCCATTTGTGTTGAAAACACCAATCCATATGGGGGAACAGTCAATTTCGATAATATCCTGCATTCACTGGAGCTTGTCTTTGTGATCATGAGCTCAAACACCTTTTCAGATCTTCTATATTACACTACCGATAGTGATTATCTCGCAGCTGCTCTTTTCTTCGCCTTCGGTATCGTCATTTTAAGTCTGTGGTTGGTCAATCTGCTGGTTGCAGTGATCACGCACTCATTCCAAGTCATCAGAGAAGAGAGCAAGCGAAGCGCCTTCGCTGTTCAGAAACTCGACTCGGTTGATACGGAGAACACATCTACCCGCAAAACTAGTAGTTTCAAACGTCTCTATGACAAGTCGGAGTGGCTCTGGATTGGCATCATCATTCTCGATCTCGTTGTGCAGGCTATGAGAAGCTCGACGATGGAGGAGGATCGAGCTAATCTTATCAATGTTGTCGAAGTCTTTGTCACTATCATTCTTCTTTTTGAAATCATCATACGCTTTGCATCCGATTGGCGCAGATTCCACCGAAGTCGCCGGAACTGGGTTGATCTAGGACTCGCGCTCATTACCTGCGTCATCCAGATACCCGCGATCAAGCATTCGGGGCGTCCGTATGATGTTCTCACTCTCTTTCAGATTCTCCGAGTATACCGAGTGGTACTAGCGTTCTCGGTTACCAGGAACCTCATCATGGTTGTCTTTCGTAACGCGACTGGTCTGTTGAACCTGATCATGTTCGTGTTTCTGATTACGTTCCTTGCGTCCATTTTCGCGACCCAGCTTTTTCGCGGCCAGATACCCGCAGAGAACAATGATGGTGACCAGATCGATATCAACTTTGCTGATATATATAATTCGTTCCTCGGCATGTATCAGATTTTATCCAGCGAGAATTGGACTACTATGTTATACGACGCAACCACATTTACGTACCCGTTCAACACTGCCTGGATTTCCGCCGTCTTCATCATCTTATGGTTCATCGTGGCGAACTTCATCGTTCTCAACATGTTCATTGCTGTCATCCAGGAGAGTTTCGACGTCTCTGAAGACGAGAAACGGTTGCAGCAGGTCAGGGCATTCCTGGAGCAGAAACAGGTCAGCGGTAATTCTCAGGGGAACTTATCTCTGTCGAAGATCCTCATGCTGGGCAGAGACTCCAACCGCTACAGGGATCCTCTCGATCATGGACCAGCGGCCCTAGAAATGCTACTGAAAGATGCCGTTGTGCGGGAATTCCTTGATGAGCAAGAAGCGCCTACGGAAAGTCGACGACGGGACAGTGTGCCTTTAGAGACTGCAGCGGCCGCGACGGCTGAGACCGTCCGCCCCGGCGTGTTCTCGCGGTGGTGGACGGCCATTACCACGTCTGTTTTGCGCAGGGAGCCGAATCCCTTCTATTCCAAATTGAAATTCTCTAGAGCATACGAAGAGCTAGATCCGAAGGAAATGGCCAAGGAGGTGGTTTCTGCCGCTGAGCAGCGGAAACGAGCACAGCGAGAGTATTTGATGAGACACCCGAATTACAATAAGTCGCTGTTCATCTTCGCGCCTGACAATCCCGTTCGGAGACTTTGTCAACGCATCGTCGGGCCGGGACGTGGGCATCAACGAGTCGAAGGAGTGGATCCCTATAAGCCGGTCTGGTATACATTTTCAGCTTTTGTCTACGCGGCGATTGTTGCCATGGTCCTGATTGCGTGCATCACCACTCCGATCTATCAGCGCAATTATCAAGTGCAGTGGCATGGCGAGGCTATGCCGTGGTATGTTTACACCGATACGGGCTTCGCAATCCTGTTCACAATAGAAGCACTCATTAAGGTCATTGCGGACGGTTTCTTCTGGACACCAAATGCATACTTTCGAGGATCATGGGGATTCATCGATGGAATTGTCTTGATCACTCTTTGGATCAATGTGGGCAGCTCACTGTTCAGGGACTGGGGTGTCTCTAGAGCTATTGGGGCTTTCAAAGCCTTGAGGGCCCTGCGTTTATTGAACGTCAGTGACAGTGCCAAGGACACCTTCCATTCAGTTATCATCGTGGGTGGATGGAAAGTCATCGCTGTAAGTCTTGGCCTCCGCTTCGTGATCTGGGGCAAGACGCACACTAATCATATTCTAGGCTGCCCTGGTCTCGGTCAGTTTTCTGATACCATTTGCCATCTATGGTGTCACCCTTTACAACGGACAAATGGTCCAATGCAATGACGGAAGTATAGTTGGGAGTCTAGACCAGTGCATCAATGAATACTTAAGCTCACCCTACAACTGGGACGTCTTAGCACCGCGTGTCGCATCAAACCCTTTTTACGACTTTGACAATTTTGGGGATGCTCTATTCATCCTTTTCCAGATTGTCTCCCAGGAGGGCTGGATTGATGTGCAGAACAGCGCTATGAGTATTACAGGGAAGGACATGCAGCCACAGTCGTTTGCAGCGCCAGCCAACGGCCTCTTCTTCATTGTGTTCAATTTGCTCGGTGCCGTCTTCGTGCTGACACTGTTCGTGTCTGTGTTCATGCGAAACTACACGGAACAGACGGGTGTCGCTTTTTTGACTGCTGAACAGCGATCTTGGCTTGAGTTGAGGAAACTCTTGAGACAAATCTCTCCGTCGAAACGCTCGCTCGACCGCAAGAGCAGTAAATGGAAGTTATGGTGCTATCGGATTGCCGTCAAGAAACATGGTCGATGGGCGAGATGCGTGACTATTATTCTTGTCCTCCATCTCCTCTTGCTTGTGCTGGAATTTTATCCGGAGCCTTATTTGTGGGAGTTGACAAGGCGTACGTCTGGCCCTCCACCCTTAGTTTCCATATTTGCTGACTTACACATTCACAGAGGCATTGTTCTTTGCTTTCACATTTTTCTATATTGCAAATGTCCTCATACGACTCCTTGGACTGGGCTGGCACCGGTTCAGTAGGAGTTCCTGGGACCTCTACTCATTAATCGCTGTCCCGGGTACCTTCATTACGACTATTCTCAACTATCTACTGAGGAATCAGGTCATTGTGGAACTAAACAAGCTTTTCCTTGTGTCTATAACCCTCCTGCTGATTCCGCGAAACAATCAGTTGGATCAGCTTTTCAAGACGGCTGCAGCCAGTTTGACGGCTATCGGGAACTTACTCGCTACATGGTTTGTCCTTTTCCTCGTCTATGCGATAGCCCTGAACCAAGCCTTCGGTCTCACAAAGTTCGGTGAGAATGAGAATAACAATATCAATTTCCGAGACATTCCGAGGGCACTCATTCTTCTTTTTCGAATGAGCTGCGGGGAAGGATGGAACCAACTGATGGAAGATTTTGCGACGATGGTGCCGCCCTTTTGCACATATGACAGCGACTTCTTCAATGACGACTGCGGCAGCGCTGCCTGGGCTCGGCCACTTTTCATTTCGTGGAACATCATCAGCATGTATATCTTTGTGTCTCTATTTGTCTCGTTGATCTTCGAGAGCTTTTCCTATGTGTATCAACGGAGCAGTGGGCTCTACGCAATCAGTCGTGAAGAAATTCGCCGCTTCAAGCAGGCCTGGGCGACCTTCGATCCTGACGGGACTGGCTATATCACCAAGGAACAATTTCCCCGTTTGCTTGGCGTAAGTTCTCTCCCCGAAACAAGCATTAGCAAAGTGACTAACACGATAAGGAACTCTCGGGCGACTTTGCCATGCGCATCTATGACGACGAGTTCACGATTGGGCGGATTCTAGAGAAGTGTCAGGTAGATAAAAGAGACTCACTCATTGCCCATAGAAGAGTGGTTGAAGGGCTGGACCTCGACAAACTGTCCCGGATTCTGCGGCAAATTCCAGTGGAGACTGTTCGGAAGCGACGACAACGGCTGAATCGGTTTTACGAAGAGGTGCTGGTATCCGCGGACCCAGTGCGCGGTATCTCCTTCCACTCGATTCTGATGATCTTGGCTCATTACAATGTCATCAGCGACAGCAAGAGCTTGAGATTAGAGGAATTCCTTCGTCGTCGGGCGCGTCTGCAGCGAGTAGAGGAGGCTGTGCGCCGAAACACGGTGATCGGCTTCTTTGATACACTGTATTGGTCGCGGGAATTCCGCCGCAAGGTCAATGCAAAGAAATCATCACGAATGAGCGAGGTACCGCAGTTCACCGTCCCAGAGATCTTTGTGGACGATGGTTATCAAGAGGGGTCCGGGACAGCGGAAGAGGCCGGTGGGGTCAGCCTGGGGGCCCAAGATGCCGTTATGAGTGGAGACGAGGACACCCAGCCGATGCTGTCGCCGATCTCGCCGACGCGAGGCCCATCCAGCCCGACATCATCACGGCAACTGCCCCGGCTGGACACCAACTTGACCGGACGCATGTCCAATGTCAGCTCGCCGACCGAGTGGTCGAGCATCAGTCCGTCGCTGGCACCAGGAAGCCGTGAACGGTCGCATACCCTCTCGTCCTACGACGCCGGGCCGGACGTGCCCATTAGTCCCGCGGGATCCAACCATTCGCGAGAAAACAGCGCGATGAATGTACAGGATGTGATGCAGTCGTTGGATGATTCCGCCTGGGGCGAGAGTATCCGGCGCAGCTTCACCCAACGTCGATCGAACGGTAGTCAACCGTAAGAAATTGAGACGCGAGCAATGTCGTGATGATTTAGATGTGCGAATGTGTGGTATCTACATGTCCTTTTTGTGCTTGGTGGTTGGTTGGTAGATAGATAGCTTTCATTCTCCAGAGTCCATCTCTCGTGACGGATTCCCAGGACCTGTACTCTTCCATTTCCTTTTGTCTTGTCTCGCACATAGACAGTTTCCGATATTGGTTATTGCATAGCCATGGCGTGTGGGTGAATTGATGCTTTTATATTTGACTACAATAATTACTCCCAATCAAGGAGTTCAATACCTCAGATTCTTCGCAGGATACTTATCTAGATACGATTGGACTCTGTGAGTAGGAGAACGATTCTCCAGGCAAGCCCCTGGCGACTATAAGTAAGGCTTTAATACGAGCGCATAGTGGAACTTTATCGACAATAAAGGGAGACATTGATGGACGGACGCGGACAATGAGTCGGAAACGGATATTATGGTTGATAAAGTATTGAGGGAAATTTCCTGTTCTATTGCGCGTGACGCAGATCACTCCGGATAGGGAGAGTCGGGAGAAGAGGCCATCGAATGTCGATCCGCCGTTTGCGTATGTCATCATAGCAAGCCTCCAAACAATAGCATTCACTCATTCAGATGAATTTGAAGCGAAATCGAATATGAATCGCTTTTGTTCTCAACAGTATGTATCGTTGTGTTTTCGCAACTACTGCATTCGTCTTGAGTTCATTTAAGTATAAACTCCCCCCTGGCGCGTCGCTAGTCGAGAGCATCCTTGCAGAGCCACTTCTATCTAGTGTCTATGTGTATGCTATCGACTTCTCTTGGTAGTCAATCATTTCCATCTTGAAGATTCCATCTTCATCTTTTCCTTATCAAGGGTTTTTCTCCGTACATCGTGGTCAAACTTTCTTTCCTCTCCTGCCTACTCCTCTCAATCTCCCTGCGACCGAGTTGATTTGGTTCGTTTAGAGACAGTTGTCGATCTATAAAAGTGTCGGTGAGTCTGCTTTTTGATGGTTCTCTATACTTTAATTACTGGATGATGTACGAGTCGCTACAGATGACATGTCAGTTTGCTTGTTTCATCTTTCGTTCTTTCAGGTTTAATTTCATTTGCGTCTGTCTTTCTCATCTTATCTTTTCTGACTTTACTTTGTTCGAGCTTTGTGTTGATATACTGATCTTTTCTAGTCCACGTCTATTGATGATCTACCTCTCTCTATTGCCAAACAGCAATAGAAGACGATTCGTGATTTCTGATATCTGCCAACTCATACATACATCAACACATCAACAACACATATCAGGCAGCGCCTGAACAGCTGTGAAACATCAACACAAGTCAGCAGCGACACTCAAACCGCACCTCACTTCATCATCGTCATCATCCGACGTACTTCCAACATCTACATACTACCTACACTAAGACATCACCCAAAACGACAAACAAAAAGGACAGCAAAATGCACCCCAGTCTCTCCCTCACCACCTCGTTCCCCTCTTCTTCGCGCAACAACCGCCTCCCCACCTCTACAACAACATCCCCCGCCTCCTCCGCCTCCCCATCGGCCTCCTCCCCATTCAGCTTCCGCCTCTTCCACCCCCACCGCGGCGCCAGCCCCAGCAGCACCGGAAGCATAAGCGCAAACAGAAGCAGGAGTACAAGCCCCCTCCGCCTCTCCGCACTCTTCCTCCGCCGGCGCCCCTCAAAAGTCGACCTGGCGCTCAGCGCAGAACGAACCCGGTGCGACGGCGACGCTATCGAGCGCCAGGGACTGGATCTCATGGAGCCGAGGCCTGTTGATCCCGTCGATTACCGGCTGCCCATGGATGGGAGTATCTTTGCGTCTTCTGCGTTTCCGCAGGGGTTTGAAGCTTCTCGGGGAAGGTCGTCTTTGCAGAGTCAGCTTCACAATCAGCCGTATGATTCTCAGAGGGGACTTGGGTTTGTTCGGCCGCGGTTTGTGATGGGGGGTATTTTTGAGGTTATGGAGGGGAGGGATTAGTTCGCTTCGCTGGTTATGTTGTTTGTCTCGTCACTTTCGTCCCGAGGGTGGAGTTTGGTCTGGTTCGGGTCTGGTCTGCGTCATGGATTGATATGTTGGCGTTTAGCAGGTTGAATGAATGGGTTTAGCGCTGGATTGGGTGGTTGTTTGCTTGTTTGCGATGCTGGTACGCTGGACATATCATGGATCGGGTTGAATTACAATGTTGCTGCTGCTTTGCTTTGTTACCGCCAGGAAGAGATGTACGTATTCTCCGGATATTGTACATGTGGGATATGCCCTGAAAATCCATGTCACATTGAAAAAACAGGTGGCCGCTTGGGTATAATCAAACGTGAGTGAAAAAAAAAAAAAAAAAAAGAAAAGGTAACTCCGTCAACCGCGCCAACTGATCGCCAACAGGGTAAACAAGCCAGTTCAGCCCTTTGCTTAAATGAAATCGCTCAAATGCAGCGGTGCAGCGCCATGTCATGCCATGTCATGCTATGCAGATTTCAGAAGAAACGAAGACAATCATTTGGTGCCCTTGCGCTGATTCGGCCAGAGCTGCCCGCGGCAGTTCTTCTCCCCACAGAGACAGCGCACAGCGTTGGGATCGACCTTTTTGCCCTCCTCCCAGTTGGGGTTGTAATCGAACGTCAGCTCGGTGTTGGGTGGGATATTGTGCAGCGAGAAGAAGGCCAGGTCGTACAGCCGTTCGTCACCGTAGGTCCGGGTGACGGGGAACAACTTGCAGTTGGGGTTGCACGAGTGGTTCATGAAACGCGTGGGGGAGCCAAACTTTTGTCCGTCCACGACGTAGATCTCGTCGTCGTTGTGGAAGAAGTCTAGCTCGAAGAGATAGGAGTGGCCGTGCTGCGAGGTGGCCACCTCCTCGCGCACGTCGGCTTCTTGTTTGGTAATCACTTCGCCGAGATAGCAGTCGATGAATTGGCCCGCGCGGATCCAGTCCGGGGAACGGAGACCTGGCCTCATTAGCACTCTTCCGCATCGATGGCTTTGTACAACTTACCGAAACCGCGATTGCCTGTGTGGAAGATTTCCAGACGGATTGTACGACCATGCTGCACGACTCGATTCCAGCATTTCTGCTCGTCACAGGTACATTTGGAGCTGCATTCAATGATGATATCTGTGCGTTTGAGAAAGTCCGGGGTCAGGACTAAGAGCCGTGCGTTGTCTTGCGCGCGCTGATACGGCACAATGATCTCTTTCGACTCTTCATCCTGCTCGAGGCAACCGCACCGCGCAGGATCACAGATCTTCTTGCAATCACAGCCTGCGATGAAGTCCACCGGGATATGTGAGACACCGTTGCGGAGGATATAGGAATTGACGAACTCGAAGTTTGAAGCAAAGTCCGCCAGCAGGCCCTCCTCCCCCGGCGCAAATGTCACGGGGGGGCCATTGATCTTTGACAACTTCCGCTGCAGAGTCTCGTGCAATTGGCGTTGTACAGGAATTCTATCTGCTAGGATGGGGCCTGGCGTTCCAATGCTAAAGGGAATCTCAGAACGCTTGACCTTTCGTGCGCTAGGATACGCGCCTTTGAGAGCACGCTTTTCATGAGCATCAATCGGATAATACTCAGTCGAAAGTGCAGTCTTCTCTGGCGTTACAGGGGGCGCTTTGACCCAACCGGATTTCTCAATCTCCTTTCTCAGCTGCCTGGACGGCGACGGAATAACGACACCAATTGCCTCCTGTTGAGAACTAGGGCTTGGACTTGGTGTAGACGGATTCTGAATCTTTGGAATGAATACATGATTAGAGTTGGGGGTATTAGCATTAGCAATGGCGTTGTTGGCAGTACTGCTGTTGAAGGTGATGGGGTTGTTGTGGTTGCCAAGACCCAGACTGTTGGTAGTATGGTGTATGTTATTGTTGCTCAAGTGATCGGCTTTAGGCACAGCAAGAGAAGGGCTGAGAGAACTTCTATCAGACTTTCTTTTTAGGGGTATCGACGACGATGGCGTGCGATGTGTCAAATTTGAAAAGAAAGTAGTTTTTGGACTCCGCTGAGGTTGTTTCTGACTTTGTCTTTGTGCCTATACCACTAGGTCAGCTAACCGGTCACGAGACACGCGCCCAATAAATCTGGTGATGGCAGGGAACAAAGAAACCCAACACATCACAACACCCACATTAAGGCTCCTGTCAGCCTAAAGGTTTTCAGGTTTAATAAACACAAAAAAGACAGGCTAGAATTAAGTTTAAAACTCCAAAAGCATGCATAGCATGTTATTTTGAATGCGTAGCTCAGGAGTCAGGAGTCTGCAACCAGACTGAGAGCAGCAACACTTTTCAATATCTTGCTAGGAAGCCGGGCAGCGAACGCGGAACGCGGTTTTGCGGAGGTTGACATGACACTTACAGCGAGTCTCCTCTGATCCTCCGAATCCGAGTCCAGGGTCAAGTCGATGACCGTCATTGGAGGAGGCGAAGGGGGCAGGAAAGCCCTGCCAACTGCTAACTGCCTGCAGTCTGCAATGGACAACGCCAGAAAAGGGAAAAAAGAAATGATGTAGCAGGATAGGGGATCCTTCTAGCTGTATATGCAAGAGGTGGAGGAGGGAGAAACAACATGACGAGGTAATGAGACTCCAGCAAAAGCTGATTAGCGGTGATAGTGTGGCCGTGGGTAAGTGAATAATCTATGCCTGTTGGGGGTTAGTCATTGCTATTTTGGGTTAGTCGTGTCTATCTGGCTAGCTTAGTCATGTATTTCTATCAGATTATGCTAGATAGCTATAGATGCTGAAATGCTGAATTGCTGATTGAGAGTCACATAGGTGGTAAACTCCGGATATAGATGGATCATGGATTTGATCTGAAAGAAGCAAAAAAGTGATTTATGTCTCAGAAACCCCTTCAATATCCTCAATTAGCACAAAATATCCTGTTATGCATCGAGAACTCGCAGATAACAGTGCTGTCAAGTTGCCTGTTGGGTCAAACCCAAAATAAGCTTGCGGGAACCAAATCAAAGCAGCCTTTCTACCCTTTTTACCCCATCAAAACCCAGAGCTGGTGCCTGACCGACCGAAAACACCACATTAAAATAACTACATAAAAATTAGATAGCCATATAGAGCTTATAGCGCTGATTCAGAATAGTCTCTTAAAATTCAAACTAAGCATTGGTGATGGAATAATTGCCTTTGCAAGTTTCCCATAGAAACTTGGTCAAGTTGCTCTTCTTGCTCAGTTTGATATGGATGGATTTCTTGGCATTGATATCCCTGGATCTGTGACTAAGCAGGCTTGCTGTTAAGTTAGTTACCTTAGTTGACAGCTGCGGTGCTGCGAGCCTTACGAGGTGCGGAGGTACCGAGGGTAGCCTATTAGAGCCCCGACGATCCCTGAGTTTTAAGCCTGCCTGCTAAGCGATTGAGGCCCCGGTAAGGCCTAGATCGACTACAACACCGCCCGTTAACCATACGCACGTTCACATATATAAAGCGCGCTTGATCCAGAGTGTTCCCTGCACTCGAAATTTTCTTAGAGTTCTTGTACCTCTCTATTTTCTCTGAGGAGAAACACATTTGAAGGTGAAATTACATTATTGACGATAATATGTGAGCTAACTGGGATTGAACAGAGGAAATACATGGCATAAAAAGTTGATGTACACAATCATGGTCAATAGGCACATGAAAAAGGGGAAGCTAATTCCAGTAATCGATGATGCATCCTGTTCAGCTCTATTGTACATCATGGCAACAAGAAGAATTTGCAGACTGAGCCAGCTCAATGTAAAAGCAGGCCTAGGCGTAATCGAAGAATAAACAAGTGATAAGGGTGTAAAAGCAATGAAAGAAGTGGAAGAAGAAGAGGGAAAATTACAATGCTCGCATAAATGCTTCATGTTCCACGCTGAATGAACCCAGTCATAATCAGGCTTCTGCTCTGGCGCTGCAGAACGTAACCAAGGCAATCAGAGTCTCAAAGCATCCAAAATCTTCTTCGCCATCTCTCGGTACTGCCACATACCTCCCGAGACCTTCTTGAACTGAATACCATGCAATGAAAACAGCGGCACCTTGACAATCAGGATCTCGAACCGCAGAACCAGATTCTCTCCCGTGTCACTCTGGACTCTCGTCGTGGTTTCGCCCATGACACGCTCTCCCGCGGGTGCATTGCTGTCACGAGGAGCCACATATTCGTCCGATCCCTCGGAATTGCTGACAAAGCTCCGATCAGGCGCCCGAGTTCGACGTTGAGATCGAGGCGTATGCATTGATCGGGGGTCTTCCTTGCTGTCATCATGGTTCAGCAACCCTCCAAAGCTGATACGGCGCCTGTGGTTAGACACTTGGCCAGATCGATCAGGGCTCGGAGGGCCGACATCCACTACTTTATCAAGTTCAATACTGGGGGCGTGACGACAACTGAAGCCTCCCTTGATCTCGACATAGTCCACAGAAAGTTGCTTCAGAACGCGAATGATGTCTGCCCGAATCACAGGCAGCGGCTTGCTACTGGTTGTCGAGACACTGAAGAGACCCTTGAGATATACCGGCTTAGAGAGATCTTCTCCCTCGTTCGCGCTCTCTAGAGCATTCCCTGCACCGGAGATGTCTGCGTCTGTCTCCTCGGGCACATTAGCTTCTCTTGCCGCGTCTCGCCTCGCTCGGCGGGCTTGAATGCTTTCGCGACGAGCATGGCCAAGTGACATGGTCCGTGTGGCATGCGTGCGACCGGGCTGTTTCACCTCTTTCGCAGAGGTCTCCACCTTCTGCCCACCCAGACTCGAGTAGTCAGAGCCACTGGTCTGAGGCGGTTGGCGGTCGGGAGCAGTATCCGACCCATCAGGGTCATTCCTCCGCGCAGCTCTCCGAGGACGATAGTCAGCCGAATTGACACTCGTAGATCTCTCCAAGTACTTGTTGGACCGCGAGGCCGGCTCGGCCGATCCTGGAGCCTTGAGGAAATCTTGTTGTTGCGGCTGGCTGCCGCCACCGGGAATATCGGACGGTGATGGGTCGGTGCGTCTG